AGACGTCGGTTCGAATCCGACCGGATCGAAGGAATTTTTTCTGAGTGCTTTTTCTGAGTGTTCGATCTTTGTATTAATAATTATAATATTTGACGTGCTAGCACAATTGGTAAAAGAAAATGTTATTGTTTTTCCAGGTACATTAATAATAATCCGCTGAACTTCTGATGATGTGTTTGGATGTGTATCTATTACTGTATTTTTATTACCGCTCTTCTCACTAGCACTCATTTTCGCGACCAAAATACAAAAAGACGAAAAAACAAATAAATATCAAAATACCCTAGTTTAAATATTACCGCCATTTTCTTTTCTTCAAGTAAGTGTTACAGGCACACTCCGGACACTCCATACAACGGTCGAAAATTATTTACCTACTACTACTACATAAAGCAAGGCGCTATTTGCACACTCCCAAATGTGTGCGTGAAGTGGCAGGGTTACCCGTCACTTTCTCGCACTATTACGTTATGTGGTCAGATCATTTTCACAGTTCGATGACATTTTGATTGTGGGGACCACCAAACTAACAATCAACCACTTTAATAAAATTTAAGAAAATAAATGAATGAAGAAATCCGAATTCTTATTTATACAGACTACAAATTTTCTCAGTGCATCCCCTAAAATGGTAAGTTTTTATTCCCCAAATAAATCGTTTACACGTCAATCGACGTTTGAGCTAGGAAATTCCTGTGTTAATTTTTTGTTATCTGTCCCTGTAAAAGATAAAAAAAAATAGGGATGCCAACTTGAATTATTGAAAATCGATAAAAATTCCTTAAAAAAAATCGTAAAAAATCGATCCATTTCGGTATTTCTGTAGGATGAGCGCCAAATCGGTAGGAATACCGAAAAATCGGTAGGTTCGAGGCCACCGTACAATTGTACATGCGTAACGCCGCTTACTTACGCATCACAGCACCCCTTCCCTCTTCGTCTCCTGGCCCTTTACCCAATGCACACGTGTTCCGTTGCCGCGCGCTAATTCAACGTACCGTGTAGCATGTACTACTAATTTATGTGTAATGCAACACAGCGTTACCGGTTTGGCATCGCAACGCATCGTGAGGCATCGTTCTTAAATGTTCCGGTGTGTGTATGTCATCTGGAGTGGCTGGGAGGTTTTGCTACCTATTAAAATTTGATGGTGCTATGGACTGGAAAGCGCGGTTCTAGAAGAAGGTAAGGATAGTCGGATTTACGGCTATAGCATCGAGAAAATAAAAAGAATAGAAAATAGAAGGAGATTATTATGAAGAAAAAACTGTGCCGTACCTTGAACTCCTCGTTAGGGCCGTATATGTTGGAGGTGTACACACATCAAAAAAAGTTTGCGATCACTTCGAAAAACTGAAATCTTTTTTGTTACTGTAGATTATATTATGATTTTTTCTTCTTTTTAGATTCTTTATTTAAAAATAAATTAGAACATAAAACAATGACCCCGTTCAATTGTTTTTTCATATAAAAAGGCTTTCAGTCCTAGCTTACGCTCATTCAGAAATCTGATTTAGTCAATTATAAGCGATTCAAGATATTTTTCGCGGAAAGTTGTGATTGAAAAAATGCCAAGAGGATTATCAGAGGTTTTACGAGCTAGAAAAGTAACTTTGAGGGAAGAAGGATACACCACGAGAGTAATAGCACGCAGACTTGCTATATCCCAATCCTGTGTCGTGGCTACGTTGCAGGGGTATCACGGAATGGGGAATTTAGCTGACCGACCCCGCAGCGGTCGCCCAACTGTTTTGACAGCTGCCCAAAAGCGCTATATTAGATTGCTGGCAGCCCGTGATCCAACAATCAACGCCACTAAAATAAAAGCAGAAGTCAGGGCCGCCTCTGGGCTTGAAGTTAGCACGCAGACCGTTCGCAATTGCTTGCACCAGACTAGATTACGAGCACGGAGGTCTTGGCGAGCTCCGCTCAATTCCCGGCAACGTCAACAACGAAGATTGCAGTGGGCTAGACTTCGGCAAAATGAAGAAGGTGAGGACGAAAACATTTGGCAAAACTGTCTCTTCGTTGACGAATCCCGAATCAGCACTCATCCAGATAACCGACGTGTCCGTGTCTGGAGAAGACCAGGCGACCGTGAAAGACAAAGAACTGCCACTGGAACAGTTCAGCAAGGCGGAAAATCGGTGTCCTTTTGGGGTGGCATTATGATTGGAGCTAGAACGCCTTTGATCCCGTATCGGGGCTTCATGACAGCAGACATGTACAAAGCAGTTGCTATTGATGATATCGTCAGACCATTCCGAGTAAACCATGGGCACCAATTTGTACTGGTCGATGATAATGCGCCCGCACATCGAGCTCAACGAGTCAATGCTGCTCTTCAAGAATACTATATCACACGATTAGACTGGCCTGCCGGCTCGCCCGACTTAAACCCAATAGAGCACGCGTAGGATGCTCTTAAACGAGCAGTATGGAACCGTGAGCCACGTCCCCAAACAGTTCCAGAGCTCAGGGAAGCCGCTATTGAAGAATGGGATAGGTTACCCCAGGAAATGCTGGATAACTTGATCCTCAGCATGCCCAGGAGGATCTTCGCATGTATTCGAGCCAGGGGAGGAGTTATTTTATATTGAATTCACACCTTTTAATAATAAATTGTTGTTTAAGTTTAATTAAACAGTCTTTTTCTTTCTATGAAATTTCTATCACTATTACATTATGATTGATGGCTCAATTTTTTAAAATAAATAATAAAAAATAGTTTTATATTTTAATTTCAAACAGAGTATTCCTATTTAAAGAAAGCATACAACATAGATTTTTTCTTGATAAAGTTAAATTTAAAGAATTATAGGAGCTTATGCTATTGATCGCAAACTTTTTTTGATGTGTGTACATCGCCAGGGGAATATTTACACGCAAATTGAAATCACATAAAATAATGCGGTTTTTTAATGAAAAATGTCCGTCATCCGCTAGAACAGCGTAGAGTCTCGACTTTCCTTTTTTTCGAAGTGGTCGCGGCGAGGTGTGTCTGTGTACCGTTTAGGTTCTCGGGTTTCTCTCAGAGAAAAGTTTAGGGAGACTGGTATCATGACTGTGGCAACACAGTACATTTACTCAAATATTTTGTATGCCCGTAAAAACGTACATGACTTCGTTAAAAAAGAAGATATCCATAATGTTAACTTTAGAACTAAGTCCACACCCATGGTACCACGTTTTCGTTTAACTAAAGTAAACGATTCTTTTATATATGGAACTGTATACGTTTTTACAATAAGATTCCGGAGCTTATATTAAGTTTATCATTTCCTAAGTTTAAAAACTACATTAAAAATATTTTGATCGAAAAGTCATATTACAAAATTGAAGACTACGTGTTAGATAAAGATGTATGGAAAGACAACGCGAGTCTAGATTCCACACAAATATGATTCAGAGTGTATTCTATAGCATTTAAGTTTATTTGAAAAGAGCAAGCCCTAGAGTTTCTTGCTCGTTCTTCTCAGAGAGGTCAGCGTAGTGAACGAGCAGTAGCTTAAAAAATTACGTTTTCAAGTGTGAAAATTTTACCTATGGAATAAATGATTATTTGACACGACTTTGAGGTTCTCTTGCCGTACTGCGAGCCAGCAAATACGAAGCCAGCGCACTCTAGTGGCGACTTCTTGTCTTCTATCCCTTTCATTCAAAGGCATTTTGGCACAGTGCCTAACTAATAAAACGAAAGTCACCAAAGAAGCGGATATTGGTTTGAAAACGAAAGTTGAACATAGCCAATAGAAATTTTTAATTGTAATAATTCATGTGTGGTGTTACTATCACCTATGGCTGCAATGGAATATTGATCATAAATTGGTTCCGCGCACCTGTACAACGTATCTTCAGCAAACTTCATGTTAATAAAGTATTGATGTATAGTAGAGCTTTCTACGACGGTGTAGTTTATACGTGATTGCCTCGCCAATTGCTCTAGCGACGATACTGGCGTCTGAGAACAAAAAGACATCCTGAAGAAACAGATTTTTTTTATGATATCAAGTGACGAGAGGCATTTCCATAGAGAAGACACAAATGTCGCGAATTAAGTCACGATATTTATACGGTTGCGTACAACCTTAGAATAATAACGCATAGAAATGCATAGAATGATAGTTTCATATCAAACGAACTGTCACAAGTGAGGCAAAAATCAAATTCATGTAGGCTAGTTTTATTAGTAGGTTAATTTTCGGTTTTAGAGAATATTTATATAAAAATACAAGTTGAAACGCGTTACTTCCTTGTGGAATGTGATGTTAGTATCTATTTTATGTTTGTCTGACGTATTTTTACACTCATTTACCGCACATTTCGTCATTTTTAGCTAAAATTCTGGAGCTGTTCGCGGTGCAAGTTGACCTTGACCACTGAATGCTCGCCCACTCGTGTAGGCCCATTGGGCGCGCTTCAATTTGCCTCACTTAGCGTGTGCGGGCTAGGTTTCTATGCGTTATTATTCTAAGTGTACAGTTATGTACAACATTGAACTTTGGTTTGCTGCACTGACATGTTCTAGTTTTATTTTGCTGTAGCAAGATGTTTTAATTCTAGTTATTTTGTTGTCTGTCTGTGTTTGTTGATGTGGTAAATCGTATTAAGACATTTTATTAGTATTTTTAAGTTTGTTAGTCACCAACGAAGATGATAACATTAAATATCAACAACAATGAACATTTAATAAACATTTACCAATATTTTCTTTTACATTTTTTATTTACAATTAGAACAATATCACTTTTTGGCACTTTTAACAGACATTCCTAAAAATACCCTTATGATATCGGTTACCGCGTCGCCGTGATCACGAGGTAACGTCCTGTAAGGCAGTGTTGCCATTTTGTCGTTACAATCTTAGTAGCAGAGAACTCCTTGTGAAAGAGGAAGTACTGCCACCTTACCTATCTCTGCTGCCAAACAGTAATGTTAGCATTACTGCGTTCCGGTTTGGAAGGGTAAGGGTGCTGGTGAAATTACGGGCATATGGCACTTGTCAACTTATGTCTCAGGGTGACGAGCGCACTGGGAGTGCCCCTCATGCGGCAAAAAGGGTCTAAGTGGCACTGCAACTGTTTTGGACAGGCGTGTCGCTTACCACCAGGTGCACTTGTTCGTCCCGTCACTTAATATTATTAAAAAAACTAATGTGCATAAACTTATACAATTTTTCGTATAAAAAAATTTCAATATTATTATAGTTGCTGTTTTTCTTTTACACGTTTATTCGGTGAGGCCACGGAGGGGCCGTCGTTATATCTCAGGGTGACAGGCGTAGTGGCAGTGCTTATCAGATCTGTGCGGTTAAAAGAACTATCGCTTTATGGTTTAAGATAATTATTTCTCAAAAGAATACAAATTCATTTAGCGAGCTTACGTGGTGACAAAATATTCAAATGAAGGTATGTAGATAAAATTTCGTCTTCTAAGAAAAACCAAAGCAAGCTATTCAAGTAGGTATTGTACGTCAATTGCCATGGTGAAAATTGAATAGTAATACTTACCAACTCTTAGAAATAAAAATATCAAAACAGCGAGAAGTTCCTCACGATGTGGAATTTTAATTTCTTTTTAACCGACTTCAAAAAAGGAGGAGGTTTTCAATTCGACTGTATGTTCTTTTTTTTGTATGTATGTTACGCGATAACTCCGGTATTTGTGAACCGATTTTCATGATTCTTTTTTTGTTGGAAAGGGGGTACTTCCATAGTGGTCCCATTTCATTTTGAAGAAAATCATCCACCTCAAAGGGTGGCTGCTCACGCATGAAGATTCATTTTTATAAATAGCGCGTAACTTTAATTTAGGAGCAATTACTTTTAGCAATTATTTAGTTGATTTTGCTATTTCTCCAATTCAAGGCGTTTTTCTCTCGACATACTTTGAGTAGTGTCGTAATGAGAACCTATTTTTATTATCTCCAGTATCAAGTCCTGTATAGTGGCGAACTAGGGGATATTTCAATGAAACTTAGCAAATATACGTAATTCCACGTACTTTTGAGGTCGGTTTTTTTAGTACTCTGTACTGAGATTATTGAATAATTGAAATGATTGTATTTCCTTAATATCTTTTGGTAATTTGTTGTATAATTCGTCCGCGGTATTTGCAAATATATAATTACAATCTACTCACCTGCATTCTCTCCACAGTGAGAAACGCTGCCAAATTAGCAGTGAAAGTAGCTAACATGAGAACGACAAATAACCAATACGCTGCTACCAATGTCCGTCCGGACAATGCCTTAGGCGCTTCGCCACCCCCTTGTGGCGTGAAAGATGTTAAGGCGAACCAGAAACTCTCTTTCAGGGTGAACTCTCTGAAAGAACAATTTTTTAACGAGTTCTTAGATTTTCGCAGCTGCGGCATTTTAAATGAAACTATCATTTTGTTATGGTCTAAAACACAATACACAATATTTACCTACAAGGATAAGGGTAAGCATCAGGGTTATTCCTCGCCGAGTACGGCGAATACTTATCCAGCAGCCAGATCATGAAACCAGTGAGGACCAGAGCGCCCACGATGCTGAGCCAGACCTCGGTACGGAGGACCGTCATGAATTTGAACAGAGATGTTTTGCGAATTGGTTTACGTATTACTGGAAAAATAAACAGTGTTCCCAGAAAAATTATTGCTTGCTATATCTTTAGTTCCTAAGTGATTTCCACAGATAAATTATATCGCACTGCTATTACAACAGTGTGGTAACACAAATAATGTGAAATTGAAGATTGTACTATTGCTGAAAATAAAATTTGGTTCTCTACACGCAAAATAAAATCGTCAAAATTCAAAATTAAAAATAATCTTTATTTCATAGGTAAGCATTATTACACTTGAAGTCGTCACATTGGTTAAACTCTACCGCTCATTCGTAAGGCAGATTCCCCTGAGAAGAATGAGCAAGAAACTCTAGGGGTTGCTCTTTGTAAATAACATTTGTACACATTCAACATTTACAATATTTTTTTTTTATTTGAAACATCAGAGATCGAGACTACCTCCATGAGCTAAACGGGTTACTACCACGGATTTTTGTCATCAAAGTACGCAGAAGTTGTATAATAACCTTTAGTATAAAGTTTTTGTTTCACTATAGTTTTAAACCTCGTGAAAGGCAAATTTTGTATATCAACCGGAATCTTGCTATAGAAGCGTATACATTACCCCTTAAATGATTGTTTGACTTTGCGAAGACGACTATCAAGAAAAGCTAGTTTATTTTTATTCCTCGTATTAATGTTATGTCTGTCACTATTTTTCATAAAGAAATTACTATTCCTTTTAACATAAATTACATTTTCATAAATGTACTGTGAGGCTAGTGTAAGTCGTTAAAATATTGTAAGAAACAGTTAAATTAAATCTATTTAACTCAAAAAGAGACAAACTTTTTGCGAACCAGTTCTGGTTAATCAATAAGTTTCTATAAAATATGAAGTTATTTTTTCCTTTTATTTGGCAAGTAGGGAATTGTTTAGATGTCTGTAATAAATAAACTTTAACCTATACATAAATTTTAATAATATTTCGCTGGAAGTGAGTAATTCGTTTTTCATCGTTTCTGAAAAAATACACTTTTTGAGTTAATACAGTGCGAATCTAAATAGACGTCGCAAGTACCGCGATCTGTATCAAAACCAAGCGTGCCATATTTTTTCACCTCCCTAGCTCGGAAAGGCTTTCTTTCTCATTAGAAATCTGCGCGCAAAAGCGTTTTTTGCACGCTAGCGTGGAAAGGTTTTTGAAATTCGAACTTGACGATGGACTGTGGTGCACCTAACTTTTCTTTCGATGAAAAAATAGATAATGGCACGTTCAACTACGCGATTTGTCGTACATTACCTATTATGTAATATAAATCCGTTCGCATGTTTATTCCTATTCGAGTGTGAGTAGTAATGGACAAATCTTACCAATAAGTATTCCAGTTTGTTCGAAGTAAGGCGCGACAAAATCTATCACTTCTTCTCTCTCCGCTGTCATTGTTAACGCTGCCACTGCTAGATCCGTTTCCTAGACAATCAGAGATTTATTTTTGGTTTCAAGGACACCCTTAGAGAATGAATGAACATATAGAATTAAATTAATTTTTAACCGACTTCAAAAAAAAGAAGGAGGTTCTTAATTCGAGTGTGTTTTTTTGTATGTATGTTACGCGATAACACATTTGTGAATCGAATTTGTTCGAAAGAGGGTGCCTCAGTATTGGTCCCATTTAAATTTGAAGAAATCCTAATAACTCCTTAGGCCATACTGTATTTCGAAAGAAAACCCATACAGATTGGCACCTCAATGGTAATTCCCATCACCGTCCTAGTTAGTTAGCTACCGTGGGCAAATCTTTGTTTCAGAGAGCATATGGTGTCTGCGACAGTAATCATCTGGCAGGGGAACTTCAGCATATAAAGCAAGTCCTACGCCAATGCCGCAGGCCCCGTGTGAAACCACCCAATCGAGCGAAGACCTCCCATTTTACCTTATGTGAGAGGTGTTACAGACAAGATCGGAAGAGTCCTCAGGCGTGCATCTATCAAGACCTATTTCAAGCCCCTGAGGAAGATTTCTCAGTTCTTGAGACCCGTGAAATGTAACATCCCCTTACAGGATGCAGGAGTTTACAAGCTTGACTGTGAGCGCGGCCTCTCTTATATTGGACAAACGAAGAGAAGTATTTGTACCCGCGTCAAGTACCCGCGTCAAAGAACATTTAGCTGATGTCAAACAACGTCGCGTAAACAAGTCTGCAGTCTGCGAGCATGTCATGGATAAACCTACACATTCAATGAAGTTTGACAAACCTCAAGTATTTGCAAAAGAAGTCAGATAATTATCTGACTTCTTTTCTGACTTTTTTGACTACCCATGATGCTGCGAGAGACCATTGAAATTAAAAAACATCCTAATTTCAACAGGGAAGATGGTTCCAGTATTTCCTCTGATGAAAAATCCCAAACAGACATAAGACTGCAGTGCTAATTAACGTGTTTTAATTTATTCTATTAATTAATAATAAATTGAACTTAATAAAAGTTCATTCAATAAAATATTTGTAAAACGTAATGTAGCGTAAATTGGAATGTTTTCTTTGTAAAATTAAAAATTAGGTATTGTAGCGGAGCGTTAGTTCCAAACGACACCGTTAGATGGCATTGACCCCTTTGAAGCTATTTCTAAAACGCGGTGTTGAGATTTTCCTTCGGCACTATAAGTAGTTAAGCAAAGTATGTGTTGATTCGGGATTCAATGCGTGTACGGTTTTCTCTGGACTACATTGGGTATTTACTGCGTACGCGCTGTATACGAGAACCTAACGTACCTCCCGTTATGCCTTTTGTGTACTGCCACCAATGAAGTTCTGCTTACTTGATTATTAAGGGCGTTATTTTTCTTTCACTGTCGAAACGAGCTTTTACCACATCCTCCTGGATCCCGTTACAGTATTTAATTAATAACTTTTGTAACTATAGTGAAAAAATAGCGTGGTTTGCATTAATATTAGACATAACTGGTTGATGACTGTATCACCTCAGTCAACCGTGACCATGGGAACTGTAAAGAGCCCGAAACGTCGGTTTATTTGAAAAAACAAATATACGCGATTTAAATTCGGAAAAATCATTTCATTTCCTACAAAATTAATTGCTAAAGATTTGGTGACAAGTTGGAAACAAAAGTGTCCGACATAAAAATTACACTATTCCGGTAAACCGGGGCACGTGCTATGTCTTCCTTTGTAGAAGTGTGGAGTCGGCGGTTTCCTTTGTATTCCGATATGTAACTTCAGCGCTCGGTGTATTGTCGCCAATATAAATAATTTGATAAATGATTGAAATTTAACAAGCTCATGGTGTACTGCGCCATATTGAAGCCGTTATGACTCTATGGCATTCAGTTATGAGCCACCAAATCAAACATCCAATGCCTTCGAAGAGTTCAAAACAACATACTTCGTCATAGGAATCGAGCCGATCGGGTCGTCTCGAAATGAGATGGGTTTCTGAGCGCAAAAGATGAACCTGATTCCTACTATATCTTTCTAATTTGTGAGTTAATTCAACTGTTGTTCCGATTAGAAATGTCAAAAGATTCTTCGAAGCTGTAGGAACACTGAAATCCACGAATAGCTGGAGATTCCAACGATTGTAGAAGTGATGGATGTATGTATATATATTTATATATGTATATGCGTAAATAGACGTAATCACAGGGATCGGCTCAATATTCATCCGAATCCTCGAGCTAAAGCACTGGTTGATGGTGGCAAAATTAAGAGACTGAATCGACAGCACGTGTTCGACGACTAGGAGAGGCTGAAGCAGTGGCTTCCTCGGTCTCAAACGCCAAAAATCACTCAAAGAATTTAATTATAATCAGGCGACTGATTGTAAATTATCTTCACTTACCCCTCTCATAAGATCTCCGACAACACCATCCCAACTGCCATTAGTAAGTCTTCGTCCGAAACTTCCACTTTTCGGAGTAACAATCTCGTAATCAAATTCCATTGTCTCCGCCAATTTGCCGATTAGCTCTATGCAATATCCATCGTAGATCGGTTGACCATCCTTATTATATTGCGGCTCGCCGGTTTCGGGATCTAATCTGGGCATGGTCCAAGGTACAGCCTGAAACGAAGATCTGTATTAAATTTAATAATAATAATAAGAATGCACACACTCATAGCTCCACATTAGGGAAACACTGTATCGCGGGTGCCATGAACACATATAGAGAACCACATATTACAATTTTTTTTATAATATCAAGTGTCAGGACGAACAAGTCGTACGCCTGATAGTAAGCTATGCGTCTGTCCCATTGACTTACAAATAAATGGACGACGGGTCTAATACAAAAACCACGAAAAAAATGTCCCAAGTCAACCTATTAAAACGTAGTGACACGTAAAGGAATATGAAAAAGCTAAAACGTTTAATTTAAATTGTATATGTCATCGCAGTACTGTCTAATTTTGCGTGCATCGCTGTCAGTCGAACAAACGAAGACTAAAGCGTGAATGACGCTCTGTATACGATTTTAACGCCCTATAAGTTCGGACACTTTTTAGCGCGGACCCGACGTCCATATAATTGTAAGTCAATGGTCTGTTCATAACAATTGCAGTGCGTCTCAGAGCTTTAAATCGCAAAGATCTGAGGGGCACTGCCACTGCGCCCGTCATCCTGAGACATAAGTTGACAATTCTAATGTGTCTATAATTTCACCAGCACCTTTATCCTTCAAAACCGGAACGCAGTAATGCTCTCATTACTGCTTGGTGGCAGAAATAGGTAAGGTAGCAGTACTACCCTGGACGAACTCTTTCACAAGGAATTAATCTTACTGCTACTCACCTTACTAACTTTAGCGGAAGCGTCTGGTTTGTGGTTTATTTATAAACCACAAAGAGACTATCGATCACCACTTAGCACGATCCTTACAAACCTCTCTTGCTTCACTTACATTAATTAATCTTTTCATACATATTCTTGCTCTCTCACTAAGCACTCCAAACTTTTTAAGATCACTTCTCAATTTGATCTGAGAATATTCTTCAAGGTCTTCCTTTTCTAATTGATTCTTCCACTTGTTCTTCTCACTACGCACTCTAACCTTTTTAAGAACACTTTCAATTTGATCTGAGAATGATATTCATGGTCTTCCTTTTCTAATTGATTCTTCCACTTCTTCTTTTCACTACGCACTCCAACCTTTTTAAGAACACTTTCAATTTGATCTGAGAAT